ACGTATAGGCTCTCCAGGGGAGGCCTTGCGCACCACGAATCCTCCAGGGAGGCCCACTTGGAGGCCGGCTCCCAGGCGTCGGGGCTTCTGGCCTGCCTGTGGCGGCAGAAAACTGGACGCCTGACTTCGCGCTCTGCGCTGCGCGACCTGCGAAGCGCGATTATCTTCGCACCCTCGCTGGCGCCGCCCCCTGGAGAAGAGCACACGCGCGGCCCGGGCCGCAAAGCGCGACGCGGAGTCATCTCTTCGCACCCCCGCGGGTGGCCTGGCAGGCAACCACTCCAAAGCCCCCCTCCTCGCAGCTCCAGTGGTGGCTCGGCGACACCCCGTCTCTGCACCGAAGGGGGAAAAAAAAAAGCGGCCCTCTGAGCAAGCTGCGTCCAGGCGTGGCCACGTGGAGCCCCCGGCGGCCCAAACGGGCACCCAGGACATCCGAAAGCCTCGACCCTCGATGATCGAGGGTCGAATCTTTTTGAAAAAAAATGCCGATCCGCTTCTCTGGCCTCCCCAGACCTCTCCCGGGGTGCGTTCTGACCAGAATTTCGAAGCGAATCCAGCGGTGGCGACGAAGGCCTCTCAAAAGGCCCCAGAAGGGGAAAACGGGTAGAAGGTACAGTACGGGAATCTTTTCCTGGCAACTTACAGGCTGCAGCAGGACTTACCGAGCGCAGGACTGGCATCGAAATCATGCAGGTGAGCGAGAAGATGAAGGAGTTCAAAGGTAGATGGTACTGGACAAATACGTTCCAGCAGATGGCGGATGGACTCACCAAGTTGCAGGTGAGGCAGCACACGCACGCGCTGACGTACGACCCGACGTTCACTGCAGAGAAGGTCAGCCAAGTCCAATCGAGCTCAAGCAGAGCTTGAGCTCGATTGGACTGCTGGTGCAAGCTACCAGTAGTGGTACCAGGACCGCAAAAAGACTGGCGAGAACAGAGGCTGTGGCGGCGGCTGCTAAAGCTGCTAACGGGCAGGAGATGACGTGCCTGGCGACGCCGGACTTTCCCTGGCGCGTGGCGTTGCTGCTCATGATTCTGAAGATCACGCTGGCAGGGTGCTGTCGTGCAGTGGCAAGTGTACGCATTATGAGATTACGGAGAAGAAGCTCATGCAGGCGGTAGACGACCACCAGAAGGAGAGCGAGCAACTGTATCGAGAAGTCGAGAAGTTCAGGGTCAAGCATGGATCTCGTCCAGGACGGCCGAAGGAACGACGATTTAGATGCGCCAGCGGGACCTGTGAACATGGTGAGAACGGTAAACACTCAGAGAAGTGTACCTACCGGGGCGACCTCACCACATAGAGGTTCCCGTAATTGTGCAATCGTCTGCAGACTGAGGATAACCAACGAGTTCAGGAGTACAGCTACTAGAGGTCAAGCTGAGGGTGAACCCCGACGGTAACTGCGAGACGTGCAGGCATGCTCATGTCTTGCTGCATTGCTTGCCAGTGTTTTTTCCTTCATTGCAGTAATTATGGCGGCACGCAAACTACATTACTTCTGAGACAGCCTTGATGTCTCAAACATTGTTTGCAAAATCCACATTGCTTCCGAGATTGACGTGACGTCTCCGATGCCGGCGAGACAAGGGGCCGAGTTTCTGCTCGCTTCTCTCCCCTGTGCAAATCGAACATTTCTGTTACAATGTAGCAGCGTGTCTTGATACATAGGTACCCTTGACAAGATTGCCCGTCCTTACTATGCGGGTTGACTGTGCCCATCGGTCGAAATAAATAGGTAGAAACATGAAGTAGGAAGGCGTTGAAAGTGGATTGGGCCCCCTAAAGAGGACGGAGACGGTGAAGCCACTCGATCATTGAAGCTGGAAGGCGCTTGAAATATATTGGAATCTGGGAATCCAAAAAATACCTACTTTCAACCGTCGATGGGTATAGAAACAAACCGAAACAGCACAACACACAAATCTCCGGAAGTCCGGGCGGATCTCTTGAGCGCTGGGGCAACCTCCCTGACGCGCGGAGCGCGCCAGGGGGGCCCGAGCGCAGATTCAAGAAATCTGCTCAGACCTTTAAAGAGTTCGTGCTGAGGTTTCTTCTTCGAGACTGGGCCCGCAGGCGTAAGGTTTGCAGATGTTCACAGAAGCTGAACCCCTGGCATCCGCCGAAGTGATGTTTTCAATCCGTTGCCCCAGAAGCCCTGACCCCTTCCCCTGGGGAAGCGTCTGATGGCCCCAGGCCGCGGGGGCCGAAATCTAGAAAAAGCACGATTAAGAAAACATATCGTCGGAGATCTGGGCTGGGGTTCATCTTCGATCGGCGGTGGACAAATATCCCGTTAGTAAACCTCCCCTTAGTGAAAACGGCCTAGCACCGAAACCGACGGACCTGGACCAGCATGACGGCCGCGACGCCCTCTCGCGAACCGAAAAAGGCCAATTCCTTAATCGACTTGTCAGGGTAGGAGGTCTATCAAGTTCCGATTCGAAGCTAAAACCGCAGGCGCAGGGTTCGCAAGTCTTGGACGCCCGAGATGGATACGGAACAAAAATGTGAACGAAGCCCAGCGATAAATGCTGTCCAAAACCGACAGCGGCCGCTGGTGGACAGGCGGCCGTCTGTCTCATACGGACCACGTCCGCGGCGACACCTAGGTCACCTCACTTCGTGCCCCGCGATGCGCGACGCGCGCTCACCTTCTCGCCCCCGTGCCCTCGAGCGGCATTTCGTCGAGAACGGCAGCCCTCCAGCCCGGACCGCGACGCGCGAAGCGCGATGATCTCCTCGCCCCCACGGGTGACCTTGGATATACCGACAGCGAGCCCTGTTCAAAATGAGCAAGAATTGGATGGGACCCGAGAAAATCGGTCAAGAAGTGTAGGTCATATCGTAGCAAGTGCGCTCAACATCGGAACTCGGACGGGGTCTTCCTGGTGAAGTTTTTCGCCCCGGATCCGTTTTCGGCGGTCACGACGGGGCCCGGAAAAAACGGCCCCCATGAGACCGACAAACTCCCCAAAAAATTGCGTCGAACCCAGCACCTCGAACCTCGCCCCCCCGTCCTGCTGGCCAGGACCAGTGCTGGGCCACCCGCCAGCCCGCTCCAGGCAAGAACTGCTGCCGGTCTTCACACCCACCCTTTCCGTAACCATGTCGTGTATGCCGACCCCAGCCCTCCAACGTCTAGAGAAACTCGAGGCGGAAGTTTTTCTCTAATTTTAGCTCCTGGGGGCCCTCGCCAGGCCCTGGAACGGTAAAAAAATGACTTAGGACGTACAACCGCCCCAGCCCAAACCTCCGGGGACCCCGCATTGACAAACTCCAAGCATCGGATGTCTGGGACAGGTGGTCGCAGAAGCGTCCCCTGAAACTCCAGCTTTTCGTCCCTAGTCATTTTTTGACCGGTCCCGGGGCCTGGAGAGGGCTCCCAGAGACTCTGAACTGTGAAAGGCCTCCCGTCTTGATTTTTCCAGGACGCGAGCATGTCTGGGATCCTTTCCGTACCCATGTTGTTTGTGCCGAATAGTGGCCGCAGAAGTAGAGGCCTCCTCGATGGGGTCCGAGTAAATGGGGTCGAAGGGTCGCGCCGCATCGCCAATGCATCGGCGATGTATCGGCGATGCATCGCCGACGTCGGCGGTGTATCGGCGACGCCAGCGTAGAGAAAATCGGGCTCCGCATCGAGCCGCATCGCCGATGCATCGCGGATGCGGCGCGATCCTCGGACCCAATCTACTCGGACCCCATCTGGGACGCCTAGATCGAAGAAGAGAAGACGGCATGAACATAAAATTTTGGCGTTCCGAGCGGATTTCTCGGATCTGCGCTGGACCCGCCTCCTTGGCGCGCGCAGCGCGCCAAGGGCGGCGCCGCAGGCGCCGCCAAGGGGCCCCAGCGCAGATCCAAGAGATCCGGGCGGAGCGCCAAAAGTTTATGTTCATGCCGTTTTCACTTCTTCGATCTAGACGGACGCGAACATGTCTAGGATCCTTTCCGTACCCATGTCGTTTGTGCCGACAATTGGCCCCAGAGGTCTCGACCCATTCCCCATGACCGGCGTTTCATCCTGAGTTGTTTGTTGACGCCCCCGAAGCCTGGCAGGGGCCCCCAGAGGCCGAGATTAGCGAAACACCTCCCTCGTTTTTTCCCAGAGGTGGTAGCAAAAGCGTCACGCCACGCGCCCCGCCCGCCCTGAGTCGACCTTGACTCAAACCTGAGTCGCACTTGGGTGGAACTTGGGTCGAGTTTGGGTCGAGCTGGAATCGTGAAGTTGAATCGAACTGGGGTCGAACTGGAATCGAATTGGGGTCGGAACGATCCGTCAGGTGGGCCCCAGGAAGGTCCCCCAAGCGAGCAGCTAACGTACCCGTGCTGCTCGTGCCGACGGGTGGCCGCAAGAGCGTCACGCCGCGCGCCCCGCCCGCCTCGGCCGCCCGGCCCGGCCGCGCGCCGGCGGCGGCGCCCTGCTGGCGGCCGGCGCCCAGGGTTCCCACTGGGCCCGGCGCCAGCGGGGCGGCCTGCGCTCGGGAGGCTGCGCCTTTATGCCCAGAACAATGGAGCTATGAGGAGATCAGATTTGGGGCCCGCATCTCTCCTTGCTCGCACTAAGCGTGGCGGGTTGCGGCAGCAAGGGAGACCGCGAGAGCCAAGCTCAGCGTGCACGCGTGAGCGTGCAGACATGTAGCGAAGAGCTACTATTATTATTACTACTATTATTACTATTATTATTATTATTATTATTAGTATTATTATTATTATTATTTTATACACATGGTTACGACTTAAATCCTCAAAATCGTGAAACTCTGAGAATGCACCCGTCGGACGACAAATTAATGCCACGAAGAAATCGAGCGGGGCCCAGCAAGCCCTCGCGAACCGAGAAACTGAGTCCCAGAGGCGCGCGCACCGACGAACGGGACGCGAACGGGACCCCAGACAGGGAGGGGCAGCAAGGCCTCTGAAGCCCGTTCAAGTAACGCGCGAGGGGCCGAGAACGGGCGAGAGGAGCCAAGAGGAGGCGGCAGGAGGATTGGCGAGCGAAGGGAGCGGGGGCAACCGCAGAAGCAGCGAAGGGGCCCCCCAGGGTCGGCGGTTCATCAATCAGAGACTCACCCAGCAGCGAGCGCTGCGATACAACAAAAGGCCGGCCTAAACGAGCACGCCGCGCACCTGGTCGGAAGCCTCATAGTCACCTTTGGACGCGACGACGCCCCCGTCGAGGCACAGCGCTAGGCCGATGCCAGAGTAATGCGTGAAGTTGGCATGTCCCCGACGAAGCACAGCGCTAGGCCGATATCCTTGAAATCAGCGAACTCTTAAAGACAGCCCGTCAACAGCACCAGATACGGAAAAACAGGAAAAAAAAAAACGCCCAAGTGACGAATTGACAATGAGCGGCGTAGAAGCCATGCCAGGTGACAGTTCGAGCTGCAGCAAAACGCGACGGAACCTGACCCCCGAAGGCCAGGATTTGAATTTCGAGCCGCAATGCCACGGCAAAACGCGACGTATGAGCCTCACCCCCGAGGGCCAGGACTTGCCAGTTCGAGCCACACTGCCACGGCAAAACACGGGCTCGGACTTCGTGTGAATACGTCACCCCGCAATCGCTGGCTGCGGCCACCTCTGGCGCGTCCGCGCCCATGAAGAACGCGTCCAAGCCCGCGGCCCACAGGTCCCGAACCATTTGCGTGGTGAGCAGCACCTGCTTGATCATCACGTTGATGGCCGCTTGCTTCTTGTTGAAGACCATGTCCTTGACTTTGCCCTGGTGTCGTTTGCGATCATTATGGTCCCCTTTGTCTTGAGCGGCGTTCTCCTGCTGACCGCTGGCTGCGGCGGCGCTCGGTCCCCCAGACCCCGCGGCTGCGCCTCCGCCCTGCCTGGGCGGGGGTGGCTCGGCCTTGCCGAGGGCGGGAGCGCCCGCGGCCTCGCCGTCGGCAGACCGCTTGGGGAGGCGCCACTTCGGAGCCGCCATTACGCTCAGGACCTCTAGCAGGGACAAAAGGGAAGTGTTGCTCACACATACGCGTCTGAAGCTGAGCCGAATCGGCGAAGGAGTCGAGCTTGCAAGCCGGGCACACAAGCTTGGGGGACACCACTGGGTACACAGCATGAGCCGACTCCGAAGCGCTGAATCCCCGACGAAACGAGCGGCATAGATGGGCCTTGGCAGTCTTCGGGAAAGCGAACGACGAACGACAAGCAAGGCACTCGTTGGTAACCGCACACCTGGCATAGTACGAGAAGTCCCCGTGCGACCCCCCTATCGCGTGCGTCTTGTGCGCGATGAGCGCGGCGTGCGAGAGGAACTTAGCACCGCAAGCGCTGCCGTCGTCGGTCGTACAATCACACACAGAAGCGCAACCATCAGGACCCAAGATATCCGAGACGGAAAGGTTCGAGTTTTTCTTGTAAGCCTCCAGGGGGTGTCCAAAATTAATCGTGTCGGGTTCAGTGTTGCCAGACCGCCAAATCGTCCGAAGGGCCGAAACGTCAGCCAAGAGAAACAAGTGCTTGAGGTAATCGTCGTGGAACAGGTCATGCAAACTTCCCCCTCAAACCTGCGGCCAGTCCTCAAAATCTGTGAGCAACTTAAGCTGGTAAAAGTCCGTGACAAAGCGGATCGCGAAGGCGTTTGCGTGCGGGGTCCGGCGGACCTCCGAAACTGTGGGGTGGCCCTCGAAGCCGAACTTACCGAACAAAAGGGCGATGACCTGCTGGTGGTCTTCTGGCCAGCGCACGATCGACTGGTACCACCTGAGCCTCTGGATGAGGAGCTCAACGTGGGTCGGAACGAGGTTCATCCACAGCCAAACTCTACGAGTGTCATATGAAAAAGGGTGGGCCCCCGACTGATCACACATAGCACCCGCCGTTATACAACGAATTGTTCCTAGCAGGCAACGCAAGGTCTAATTGGGCTTCCTGGGTTACCGTGAGGAGATACGGGGTGAGGCCAGACAGCAGCGCACCCTGCACGGCAGATATGAATACTAGTCTCTTAACATGAAAGGGGGCCCCCGAAGGCCACAAGTATTTAAAGGCAAGCCATCCTCTGTCGGCCACTTGTTTACTCAAACGCATCTGATGCGAGAACGCTCCCGACGGCAAAAACTGAGGGCCAAGATAGCGTGTGTGTGTGGGGGGTGACTCTAGCACCACCAAACTCATCCGAATAAAACTTGCGATTTGCGTTATATCCGCAGAGGCGTGGGACCAGGACCTGCTTTTTTGTGTTCTGGCGGTAGCCAAAAGCTTCCAGCTGGGCTCCGAGGGAGGCCTGCGAGGCCTGGGTACACACAACAGCTTCCGCCAGGGCCCCAGAAGCCAGGAGCAAAAAATAAGCCAGGTCGTCCACGTATTTAAAGAAGCCTCCATACACATCAACGTCGAACAGCGAACAATGAGCAACAAGTGGGGTCCTTGCTCTCTTCCAGCCACTTCTGTAACGGCCGAGCGAAGTCTACCCGAAACTCGTCGGGGGCACTAGGATCCCCCATGAGGGACCCGCTTTGGAGGTGGAGAGTGGTGTGCTTATCAATTCCATCTATGTGCATAATGTGGGTAGCGCAGATACGTTTTCGGAATTGCTCTGGAACTTCCGGACGTTCTCAAAGCATGCAGCATGCATGGGTTGAATGCATCGGCTGCGCCTCGTCGCGGGCGCCCCGGGGTTTCCGGAAACGTGCCAAAAATCCGCCTGATGTCCGAGTTATGCCCAACCATTCTGGTGTTGGGTTCTCGTCTTGAACCCTCTGCGTGCATTTTTGGACTTCGTGCGCTTATTTGTTCGAGAGGTGATCCAGTATGCTCCTCGATGACCCTCGCCGAGGAACAAGGCAGACGTCCATGCGATGACAGGGTTTATGGCCGAGCCTCCTTGGTGTCAGGGCATCCTACCCCCTGGTAGGATGGTCGCACCACGAGCAGGTGGATGCAAGCAGACGAGCCCAGAAGCAAGCAAGCCGAGAAGCTTGTATGCCCAACCGTTAGGTCGAGCATGTTGTCTTGCACGCGGACTTGGGAGGGAAGATAAAAGTAATCCAAAATCGCTCAAACAGATTCAAACGATAGTCGAAAAATCGTCACCAGACTATTGCTTTACCATTATTTAATATACCTCCTGTCGAAGGGCATGCCCGATTTACCCCAACCATCCTGTGTTTTGGGGTCCTCGTCCTGAACCCTCCCACTCACTATTCCAGGCCTTCCGCCCTAACCTTCTGCCCCTTTGTCGATGTGATTTATATGAGCTTCCTTGAATTACGCAAGGTTCCCAAGAGTTTCGACGAAGTATTCCGCACCTTCCGCGGAGGTCGGAAGGCATGGAAGGTGGAGGCGGAGGGAAGACGCGAGGCTTTCCGCCTATGCCGGCCCCTGGGAGCCTTCTCGGGCCCCGACTTGGGATGAAAAACTAGCCCCAGGGAAACGGCCAGAACTTCCAGAGACCCCGCGCTGAAAGAATCAAGACATCGCATGTCTGGATGATATTATCCCCAATCCACCAGATTGTAACACCTAGCTCCTGGTTTAAAACAACAGCCGCGAAGGGACATTTCATTTGGAAACGCTTCTTGAGGAGAGAGGGATGGGCCCCGACTCCACAAGTCAGCATTTTCATATCCGAAGCCCACAGGAGCCCCCGAGCCAAATCCAGGTAAAAGCGGAAAACTGAAGTTCAGGACCTGGTCATCAATATTGCTTATATTCCCCAGCTCGTCTGCTATGAAATCAATTTATTCTCGCAATCTGGCTGAAACGCTGCATTCGAACAGCCTGCACTTCAAAATGTCTCTCGCGGCTCAGCACTGGCACTTCTCATCGACCCCGCAGCCTGCGGCGCGCAACCTACCCTGCGTCCTTATACACTTCGTGAGAAAGTAGACGAGAGTGGACCTGGCCTGCTTAGCTAAAGTGTTGCTACATTTCAAGTCCCTAGGCATGGAAACGTCGAGGGCCTCCTGAAAACACCCGCGCTTCACATCTGCTTCTGCAGGATGAGCCTGTCCCAGGCTGCCTGCATCTTCTTTGCCAACAATTTTGGCGCGCAGGTCGCGAGCGGGCATCCGGGCCCGCCCTCGTCTTGCAGCCCCAGAACCGGTCGAACCTCCAGCCCATCCCCTCGAGGGATAGAAGGGCAGCCCCGAAGGGGCCGCGCTCAGCAGACCATTGGGGGGGAGGGGAGGCGAGGATGGTCTCGGTCAGGCCCTTCAGCTCAATCAATTTCCGCGGGTGGGAGGGCCGCGCGGCTGCCACCCAGATCATCGTCGACCGCGTCAGCGCGGGCCCCGGGCCCGAGCGCCACGAGGGGTCTCCGAGAACTGCCAAAGTCTTACTTCGCGCAGCACATCTCGGCCCAGCTGCCCGTAGGTGTGCATATTGGAGATTCCGAAGCTCGACGCGACCCATTCCTACCACCTCGGTCCCGCGGGCGAGGGCCTGCTGGAGGCCTATGGGAGACCTTCATCGCATTCCCTCCAACTATCCTAATCGCTCAAATCCGATGTCGTCGGCGTCGGCGTCAGACAGAACGTCGGCATAGAATCGCGCGTGCCAGTCGCCTGCAAACTCGAACCCTCGAGGCCCCAACAGAGCTATCGTTGCCTAGATTGGTGGCCGCGCGCGAGCCATCAGGGCCGTCATATTTCCCGAGGGCTTCCCTTATTTTCTACATGAGCCAAAGGTTCGATGCGATGGCCTGAACTTGCGCGGCGCGAGCTTGCACTCCAGATCGTCCCGGGCGACGACTGCGTGCCCAGCCGCTGAGCGTCGCAGCTGACGGACGAAGACATCGAGTTGGATGCTGTTGTCCCACAGGAAGAAGTCGCCAATGCACATCTGCAAATAAGGTAAAGTCCTGGCGCCATCCCGACCCCTCGAAACTGCGCCCAGGCTCGTCGCACAACGGCAAAGTGATTTTGCCGTTGTTTTGCTTGGGGACCGCACCGAGACCACTGCTTGCAACTGCTTGGGCATGGCACGTACGGGTCCGACGAGGCGCAAAAAGTGGCAGATCAGGTTCGCCAGGCCAAGAGAGCGTTTCTTTATGTTCGGCGATGACGGGCGTCATGGGGGGGGGGCGAGGGGGGGTATGACGTGACGCCCCAACCCCCCCCGCCGTGTGGCTCCCGACGAGAGACAAGCGACGACGACGACGACGACGACGACGCGAGCAGCATGTAGGTGGCGATCTGCCCCCCTGCGCCTGCGTACGCCACAACGCTCGCGTGCACCACAGCGCGCGTGTACACCACAACGACTGCGCACATCGCAACAACCGTGTGCAACGCAGCGCCTGTGTACACTGCAGTGTTTGTACACTACAGCGTCGGTGTACATGTGCACACTGGAGGCAACCATGTGCAACACAGCGCCTGTGTCCACCACAATGCTTGCGTGTACCGCGGCGCCTGTGCACGCCACAGCGCCTGTCTACACCACAGCAGCCGCGCACAACGCAGCGCTACCAGAGTGCCTGGGTCCATAGGACAGGTAGAAGAAGACTGCACGTAAGGATCTGCTGCGGAAGCGCCACGGCAGGGAAGTGCTGATAATCGAATGCGACGTTTTTCCCTTTTCCCTTCTCCTCCACTTCCACTTCCGCCTCCTCCTCCTCGTTTTTCTCTTCCTCCTCCTCTTCCTTTTTTCTCTCCCTCCTCCTCCTCCTCCTCTTCCTCCTCCTCCTCCTCCGCCTCCTCCTCCTCCTCCTCCCTCCTCCTCCTCCTCCTCCTCCTCTTCCTCCTCCTCCTCCTCCTCCTCCTCCTCCTCCTCCTCCTCCTCCTCCTCCTCCTCCTCCTCCTCCTCCTCCTCCTCTTACTCCCCTGTCATGCAAGTTGGCGCTGCAGCGCACGTGCGCAACGCAGGGTGCACCGCGGAATGGTTTATTGAATCGGCCCACTTGGTTCTCGGACGGCCATTTTAGCTGGAGCCTCCTGGGCGCAGATGGGACGAGTTATGGTGATGCGGACGAACTCGGAAGGACTCGTTGATTCCCTTGGCGCTCTCTTGTCCTTAAGGATTATTATCTTGCGTTTGCGGTGAAA